TCCGATGCAAATACGCCCCATTCAACATCGTTAGCCGTCACGGGTCAGCAAGCCCTAAGGCCTAACATATCGGCGGTTCCGGGTTATCTGACGATTTGACCCGGTAGTGTCGAGATGCTCGAGCTTCGAGGGTGGATAGTGTGCAACTCGTAGGAGCAAAATTCCCGCCGTTTGTCTCGGCTCCTCATAGCAATAAAGAGTGTTGCACCGAGAAAAATGAAGGAGTGCCGTGAAGAGCGTAGCAAGAGAAGCGCGCAACAAGCGCGCCTCAAAAAAACGCGTGACATAACGTCACACGCATTCATTGCCTTTCAACAAAACGACGACGCTGAATTTGCGCCAGCAATGAGTGTGAGTGCTTTCCTTTCTTCATCTCTTGCGGCGGATTATTTGTTTCTCCTTAATACTAACATCATCCTCTTTTCCTACCCACAAAACAGACATTCACCGCTGTCGGACCCGACGACGAACTCCTTTCTGACGTTGTGCCGTCTAATATCGTCTCGAGGCAGCCTTCGACTCCAGGAACTGAAAATGGTGAATCTGAAGCAGATGATTATGAAGAAGAAGAAGAAGTCGAAGTAGATGACGATGAGTTGGTCGAGGAGGCACCGAGTAAATCAAAGGGAAAGGGCAAAGCCAAAGCCAAGGCGTCCTCGAAGAAGTCTTCTAAAAAGGGAGTCTCTGCCGCCTCCAAAGCAAACTTCGACTCACATCTCGCCTCTGCGCGTCTGTCTATGGACAAGGCCAAAACTGCCGACGCGGTGAAGCGATATTCGTACTTGCTAGGACAGACGGAATTGTTCAAGCATTTTGTGGATTTGAAGAAGAGCAGGGACCCAGAGTATGCAAAGTTACTTGATGCCCAGAACGCCTCCTCGTCGACTGGCGCGAAGGGTAGAGGTCGAAAAGGCAAAGCCGCAGCTGCGGGGGCACGTCATCGGAAAACAGAAAAAGAGGAAGACGAAGAGCTACTAAAGGACGTCGCAGCCTCAGTAGAAAATGGTGAAGATATGCCGATGGTATTCGAAGAATCTCCATCCTACATCGATGGAGAGATGAGGCCGTATCAGATACAGGGCTTGAACTGGATGGTCTCGTTGCATCATAATGGGTTGAATGGTATTTTGGCCGATGAGATGGGTCTCGGAAAAACTCTCCAAACCATCTCCTTCCTCGGTTACCTTCACCATCATCTTTCTCTTCCCGGTCCCCACCTGATTGTTGTTCCCAAGTCGACCCTTCAAAACTGGAAACGCGAGTTTGAGAGATGGACAAGTTTCTTTAGGGTCGTGATCCTGACAGGAAGCAAGGAGGAGAGGCAGGCGGTTATACAGGATCAGTTGCTCGCCGCCGAAGAAGGCCCTGAGGGTACTTCCGATATTACCCTCCCCTTCGACATACTCATCACCTCCTATGAAATATGTCTCATCGAACGATCCGTTCTCCGCAAATTCTCATTCCAATACATTGTTATCGACGAAGCACACAGAATCAAGAATAGCTCATCGTTATTGAGTCAGATTGTTAGAGCGTTCCATACTAGAGGAAGGCTGTTGATTACTGGGACGCCCTTGCAGGTACATATGACAAGTTCGCTTTTTTGTGTATCTTTATAACATTTCCCGCCACAGAACAACCTTGAAGAACTATGGGCTCTACTCAACTTTATCGCGCCAGAGGTGTTTGTGGACTATGCAGATCTGGAAAAGTTTCTGAATGCGGACGAGGCTCAAGTTGGGACAGAAGCCATCGAGACTGCCGCTACTGGGTCTGATGATGAGGTGAAAGGCGAGGAAGAGGCGATGGCAGTAGACCCACCGAAACCCAAGACCAAGGAGGAAATTCAATCCGAAAAATCCCAAAAGGTCGTTCAAGCGCTGCACAAGATTCTTCGGCCGTTCTTATTGAGAAGAGTCAAGGCGGATGTAGAGAAGGGGCTGTTACCTAGTACGTGTTTCGAGGTTGAGTCGGCATAATACTAACTGCCTCTCTCGCCACCTTTGTTCCACAGAAAAGGAAATAAACATCTACGTCCCTCTAACTCCAATGCAACGCAAGTGGTATCGTTCCGTACTAGAGAAGGATATCGACGCCGTTAATGGGCTAACCGGAAAGAAGGAAGGAAAGACACGGTTGATGAATTTGGTTATGCAGGTGAATATCTGAACTGAATCAAGCGAACTGACTTGTTTGGCGTATTGTGAAGTGTAATGCTGACCTCACGCCGCTTCTCAGCTCCGAAAAGTAACCTGTCATCCCTACCTCTTCGATGGTGCCGAGCCTGGTCCGCCATACACCACCGATGAACACCTGGTGCAGAACAGCGGGAAGATGATTATTTTGGACAAATTATTAGGGAAGATGTTTGTGAGTATATGAAGTTATCTTGATATGGATATGAATGCTCATATACTTCTCCTAGGCGAAAGGCTCCCGCGTGCTCATCTTCTCGCAAATGAGTCGGATATTGGATATTTTGGAAGATTATTGTCTGTTTAGAGGATATAGTAAGTATCATCTTTGCGTGTCTTGACAAAGAATTCACTCGCGACTTTTTAAGAATACAATCGCATCGATGGTGGCACTGCACACGAAGATCGTATAGTCGCCATTGATGAATATAATGCGCCTGGATCGGAAAAGTTTATCTTCCTTTTGACAACGCGAGCAGGTGGCTTGGGTATTAATTTGACGACGGCGGATATTGTGGTTTTGTATGATAGTGACTGGTGAGCTTTGTTTAGTTCGAGATTCGGGAGACGTTAAACTTATCGTCCTCTTAGGAATCCCCAAGCCGACCTCCAAGCCATGGACCGTGCACACCGAATTGGACAGACTAAACAAGTCTATGTATATAGGTTTGTCCTTGTATATATAAATATCAGACTTGGACTAATGTCGAACACAATACAGATTCATCACTGAAGGAAGTGTCGAAGAACGTATGCTCGAGCGCGCCGCGCAAAAGCTAAGATTGGATCAGTTGGTTATTCAGCAGGGGAGGGGTGGTGGAGGTGGTGCTCCAGCTCAAGCTGGTGAGTATCTGCTCTGGATTCCCGCCCTTCGGGGGTGGTATTCTTCGTCAAGCGGTTCTGACTGTTCTCGTCGCAGCTAAAGCAGCCAACAAAGAAGAGTTGTTGGAAATGATCACCCACGGCGCCCAAGAAATCATTCAAGAAGCCGAGTCGAATCCAAATGGTGGTGATAATGGTATGGGGCCATCCTCAAGTTTCTACTTTTAAAAAATCTCATTAACTGCCCTCAGGTCCTGACATTGAGGCCATCATTCTCAAAGGCGAAGAACGTACCGCGTCCTTGAACTCGAAATATGAAGGCCTAAACTTGGAGGATTTGAGTAATTTCAAGAGTGATGCGAGTGTGCAGCAGTGGGAGGGGGTGGATTTCCGAGGAGGAGTGAGTATTGGCTGTTCTGCTTTCCTCGAGCTCCACTGAATCATTCCGAACAGCGCAAACCGCTCAACCTTAACCTCCTCTCCCTTTCCAAGCGCGAGCGCAAATCTAACTATTCCGTCGACAACTACTTCAAGGACACCCTCCGCGCAGGCCCGGGTAAGGTCGAGAAAGGCCCCAAGCTTCCGAAAGCACCGAAACAGGTTTCCATGTGAGTGGACTACTTTGACCTATTATCTTGACTCACTCCCCGCACAGTCAAGATTTCCAATTCTTCCCTCCCGAACTCGCTGCGCTCCAAGAACGTGAACTCGCGGTACACAAGCGCCTCAACGGGATCCCTGCCACTGTGCGCGAGTCTACCACCGGCCCCGGTCAAGAAGGGACTCCAGATCGAGACAATCAAGAGGATGAGAGGAAGAGGGAACAAGAGCTTGAGCAAGAGTTTATCGATACTGGTAATGTTATGAACTTCCTCGGTAAAATTGTCCGCTAACTATCTATCAGCGGAACCTCTGACGGAGGAAGAGGTGGCTCAGAAAGAAGCGTATCTTGAGCAAGGATTCCCAAATTGGAGTCGAAGAGATTTCCAGCAGTTTGTAAAGGGCTTGGAAGCGTATGGGTGGTATGTTGTATTCGTCCCTTCTTCTATTTCCGCTCACAGCCCATTCGTTAGGGATCAAAAACCCGAAGTCTATGCAGCCGACATCCAAGAGAAGACGGCTGAAGAGGTGGAAAAGTATTACAAGACGTTCAAGAAAAAATGGAAGACGCTGAGTGGTTAGTTGATTTTCTGGACTCTGCAACGAATCGGGCTAAAGCTCGTTTCAGAATATCCCCGCATCGAAGCACGTATCTCTGAAGGTCTTGCCAAACGAAACAAACGCTCCAACTTGGAATTCCTCTTGGACCAAAAAATAAACTCTGTCCAATACCCGATGCAAGAGCTCGAACTCAACTATCCGACTACCAAGGGAAAAGTCTACAGCGAAGAGGAGGATCGGTACCTGTTGTGTCGGTTGTATCATTACGGGCTGAATTCTTCAGGGTCGTCTGCGAATCCAGGGACCGGAGCCGCCAACGGTGCAGCAGCAGCAGGAAGCATCGGAGATGCAGATGTGTATGAAAAGATCAAACGCGACATATCCGAGTTTCCTGTATTCCGATTTGACTGGTTCTTTAAATCGCGAAGTGCGGCAGAGTTGGGCAGGAGGTGTAATACGTTGTTGGCGATGATTGAGAGGGAGGCGGAGGCGGAAGAGAAGGCGAGGGAGGAGCAAGAACAGAGGGGCAAGGGGACGAAGAGTAAGGTATGTGTTGGGTATTTTTTTGCACAGGGTCCGTTCTTGACGTTGTTTATAGAAACGTGGTGTGGACGAGCTGCAAGCATCGGCTTCCACGTCGAGACCTGCGACGCCGAGTGGGTCTGTGGCGTCGGCAAAGAGACCTACCAAGAAGAAGAAAACTTGAGAGCTCGAGGAGCGCATTTCTTGTTCCACATTCATTCATAAATATATTGTATATTTTCATTAGTGTTTCAAGTACGTGTCAATAAGAAGCGAAGTATGTAGCAGTAAAAAAGCAATTGATTCGACCCGGTTTCGAACCGGAGACCTCCTGTGCACAACGAGGATTGATGTGAGACAGATGTGATAACCACTACACCACCGAACCAATTGTTAACAGTTATTTACTTGGAGGACTCGGGCTGGAGCCAGGAGATAGTAGAGTACTCTGAGTCTACCATATCCAGAAATAGCTATCAGCGGCGTATAGGAGCGCCTATCGTTTGATTCGCCAAGCGTTCTAGATCATTCATTCAACTCCGCTTCGTATGACGTCAACGACGTCACCTTGAGCAGGATGTACAAAAAGCAAAAAAAAATGAGGTGTAACGTTAAAGCAACATGCCTTCTCTCTCGTCCGCGATCAGCAAAATAATCCCTGGCTCACGAAAGCGCGACTCTTTGAAAGCGCAGAGTCGAGCTTCGCTGGATAAAGAAGAACACAAGGAAGGCGAGATTAAAGATAAAGAAGAGCAAAAGACCGAGAAACGGGAAAAGGAATTGGAGGAGGACAGAAGAATCCGCATGAAACGAGCTCAGTCTTCGCAGGTCGCTGCAATGACAGAGAGCCCAGCCCAGCGGGAGAGGTATGGTGAGATCTCGTACGACGACGAAGACGTACAAGAGGTCGATATTCGACAGCTTGCCGACATGATCGGCCAGACAGTGGATTTACGAGCTCGACTGCATACAGTCCGCGCAGTTTCTAGCGCGCTCGTATTTCTTGTTCTTCGTCAACAGATGCACACGGTCCAAGGCGTTCTCTCTTCTTCCGACGAAACAACCGGTCATATGGTTCGTTGGGCATCTCGCTTACAAGAAGAAACTATTCTTCATATCAAAGGTACAGTGCAAAAGCCAAAGGTCGGCGAGGTAACAGGTACTACCGTTCATAACGCTGAAATCGTTGTGCTCGAATGTCACATTATCTCCCGCGTGGCCGAGCCTGTCCCATTCAGCGTGTACGAAGCTGATCTCAGTGCTAGTGCTGAGGACGACAACAGGATCAGTGACCGTGCTCGTCTCGCTTCGCGTATAATCCATCTCCGTTCCTCTGCCGCCCAATCCGTTTTCCGTATCCAGTCGACTGTCGGGTCCGCTTTTCGTTCTCATTTAGAGTCTTTGGGTTTCATCGAAATACACACCCCGAAACTCCAAGGAGGAGCTTCAGAAAGTGGGGCTTCTGTTTTCAAACTAAAGTACTTTGGTCGACTGGCGTTCCTCGCTCAATCGCCGCAGTTGCCCAAACAAATGTCCATTGCTGCCGATTTCGAACGAGTATATGAGGTCGGGCCAGTGTTCAGAGCTGAGAACAGGTGATGTATCTTCCTGTACATTGTGTTCGGCGGTGATTCTAAATACTCGTTATGCAGCAACACGCACAGGCACTTGACCGAGTATACAGGCTTGGATTTGGAGATGATGATAAAGAGGGATTATCATGAGGTAGGCGCGCACTTTTTCTCTTTTTAACTCTTCTAACACGCGTCCAGGTCATGTACACTGTAGACACCACCCTTAAAGCCATCTTTTCCGCCGTCTACTCGTCCCGCCGTACCGAGATTGAAATCCTCAAATCTCAATTCCCCATCGAAGACCTCGTATGGCTGGAACAAACCCCCGTCATTCCATTCGCAGATGGTGTACAGATGCTTATTGATGACGGTTGGGTAGATGACGAAGGGAATCGACCGAAAAAGGATGAGGATTTATCGACTCGGGCGGAGATTAAGTTGGGCCAATTGGTGAAGGTAAGACGTGCGCACCCGACCTCCATATCTTGCTAACCTTTCTCGCAGGAAAAATACAAGACAGACTATTATATCCTTGACCAATTCCCTCGCTCCGCTAGACCCTTTTACACCATGCCCGCCTCCGCTTCTACCGCAGCCACAATCGCATCCAAACATCCCGATGGAGATGCAGGCGAGACCACCAACAGCTTCGACATCTTTGTGCGGGGCCAAGAGATCACGACTGGTGGCCAGCGAATCCACGATTATGAGCAGCTCGTCAGCGCCATGGCCGAGAACGAAATCAGCGAACGAGGTCTTGAAGAATACCTCGATGGCTTCAAATGGGGTGCTCCTCCCCATGGCGGAGCTGGGATTGGATTGGAGAGGTTGGTGTTTTTGATGCTTGGATTGGGAGATATTCGGTACGCATCAATGTACCCAAGAGACCCCAAATCACTCCCGGAACCTCCGAAGGGCCTTGAGGGTCTCCCTCATCCAGAAGCGAGTACATTACCATTGGGAGCCGGGAAGGTAAGAAATACGAGTTTGATGTTATTTAGGATACTAACTCCACCACAGTCCCCAGTCAAAGCTATCAAGTGCATTTGTCAAACCAAAGCCACCGGGTCGAGGTCACAATCTCCCGATGTTTCCCAGCTGTCTCTCAACTCGCTTCCCAATTCTCTCAACAACAACTCTTTTACGCTCGGTAATGGCAATGTCTCTAACCCCGCATACCCCTCGCTGGACCAACTCTCTCTCGAATCTCAATCTGGTGCTTCCTCACCTACGGGTTCTGGGTCAGCTACGCCTATCCCTGGAGCCTCAAGTGGTACGAGTACACCGTCGAGTACAGGCAAAGTTCGACACCCACCACATCATGTCCATCTTGGTCCAAGCCCGTTACATCAGAGCAGTCTCGTTGGCCAAGGTAGTGCAAGTACTGTTGGAATGGCTAATGGTGATGTGCCGAGCGCGAGTGCGTTGACTCTCGGCGGCCAGAGTAACCAAGTAGTTGGAGGTCGAACCTTCCCGCCTCTTCCGTCGCTCATTGCCAACTACGGTGACGCAGCCAACACGTCATGGTTGGACGATAGGTATATGGTATGGAGGGATATACAGACTGGTGCTGCGATTGGGTAAGTAACAGTGTGTTGATTCCGATCTTTATAAGTAACCTTTTCGTTCACAGCTTTGTCCCTTCTTCAGGTGGCTTCGCAATCATCGTCGGCGACCCCCTCTGCGACCGCAGTCAGTTCTCTGGCGTTGTTGGTAGATTTTTGGGATGGTTGAGGAAAGGAGAGGAAAAGGATTCCAAGGACGGGGAAAATCGGATTGGGTTTGTCGAGAGGAAGAGCATTACTGCTGATGCCGAGCATTCTGTCTCTGCTACAACTGAGGACATTGACTCCTCTAAACCTCTTCCTTCGCTAAAACCTGTCTGGCTCCTCGCCTCTTCTGTCCTAGAAGGTGTCCTCGGTTCTCGTCTCGGTTGGTCCTCATTCACCTGCATAGCGGAAAGTCGTGTTGAGCTGGAGGGTGAGGTGCCTGGTGCATTGGCGGAGAAGGAGGTGGCGAAAAAGATCAAGAGGGCGGAGACGGAGGGAGTGGAGGTTTCAGGGTGGTTCGGGAGGGATGGCTGGGTTGATGATGGCGCAAATACTTCCAACGCATCTATATCAAACTCTGGCTCTGGTATGCCTCTCTCTATCAAACACGCTATTGACGAGAGGATCGCCGAGTGGCGCGAGGGAAGGAAGAAGAAGGGCGGACAAGTGAGGTTGACGGAGGTTGAGCCGTGGAGGGATCATACGCACAGACAGTACTACGTCGCAATGGCGCCTCCCAAGAGGGGTGCCAAGAATGCGGAAAGCCCAGCTGGTTCACCGAGATCTTCAGTAGACGGCAACAGTTCAGCTAAGCGTTCCTCATCGGAGCCCAAAATTCCTGTCGCTCTTGTTGTCCTGCACCAACTCTCCCCTCAACATGGTTTCCAAGTCAAATACGCTCTTGACTTCCCGCACTCGCCGTCTGGCTCCATCGAATGTGCTCTTTCCTCTGCTTTCCACGCCGTCGCGGCTACCGGGTCATGGTCGTCTCACATTCGGTACTTCGGCCACTTCGCGATTGACCCCAGTGAGGAATGTCAAGGGGATGAGAGTCAAGGTGTTGAGTCACGCGTATGAGGCGATTAGTGAGAAGATGAGCTTGCACGGGAAGGGCGACTTTAGGAAAAAGATGGGGGCAGAGGAAGAGGACGTGTATATTTGCTATCCGAGGGGAGGACTGGGAGGGAGAGGAGCAAAGGCAGTGTTGGATTTCTGTGTTGCAGAGAGTTAAATTTGTATGTTCCATCACTGATACACGTCAACTTTGTGAAAGGACTTTTGTTGTAGATGATACCTGCTACGCTTTGTTTCCGCTCTTTACTTATTTTGCTACAATATTGTATTTTCGTTCAGTATACACATTGATTCGGTTTCCTTTTTACTTGCTACAGTATATACCACAGATTTGATAACGATTATAATTTGCTTTGTTCATGCTTCAAGTACTTCGGTAGTGTAGTAGAGTTCCCGGCTTGAAACTTTACCCCAAGGTCGAACTAGTCTAAGCAACACCGTCACACCTAAGAACGCGGTAAACGGAATCATATTCATAATGTAGGTCCTCACTGATCATGATCGCTAAAATCGCGTCTACAATCGTGATTATTGAGATCAATAATTTTTGGGAGGAAGCAATCAACAGATGCATGAAGAGTTCAGGAACTCGATTGCGATCGACCTTGAGGAAAACGACAAAAAAGTGTACAAATGAAGCAATAGTCCTACTAAATCAATCCTCCGTCCTGGGTCTCTTACTCTCGCTTCCTTCCTGGTCTGGTTCCGATGGAGCTTCACGCGTCTGCGCCCCCGATGGTGTCGAATCCGTCTCTGTTTGTGACCCAAGGACATACCCATCTAATAACCCGTTCAAAACGGCATCCTGAACTCGTCGCCTGAGCTCTGCATCGACAGACTCTGGATCAACACCCTGATCGACCAAATCTTGGATGGAGGAGAGTAGTGACGCCGTGAGTTGCTCGGATGCAGCATTTTGGGCGTATTGGGATGTCGATAGGGCGTCAGATGATGGTTGTGGTGTAGGCGCTGGTAAGGAAGAACGGGATTGGAGATAAGCGGATATTTCAGGGAAATCTTCTAATAGATGAGCGCTTGGCTTCAAGCAACGGTTAGTTGTGTAAAGCTACTTGGAGACAAACTTACTGATAGCCCTTCCTCATTGACGCGATCGATTATTGCGCCCTTGTCCAGCAGGTATTGCGCAGTCTCGATGTTCTCAACGGTGTATATTGGCGTGTCGCCATCGG